CAGGTCATCATTCCATGTGTTAACTTGGTAATTTCTGTCCTAAGAAAGCACGAGGAAGGAGCGTCATCGGGAGTAGACCGTTTAGAAGAGTCTGATGCACTGCCGGTGTCCGAAATACACAGGTTTTCCTTCTGATCACCCTGAGCTCTATTCCTCATGTCCCCACAACTGCTTTCTGTGAAGTACATGCAACTCAAACACACCAGCGAAAGCAGAGTTGGATTTGCTAATCTTTAATCAAGTTGAACTGTGGAGCCAACTCTCTGCGGCAACATCTGCCTTTGCTTACAGTGCCAATCTTCAAATCCGAACACGGTAAAAATCACCAGGTGAGCTCCAGCCCAGACATACTGACTTCAGTTGGGCTCCTGGACATAGGAATTTTTTTTTTTTTATTTTTGAGACAGGGTTTCTCTGTAGCTTTGAAGCCTGTCCTGGAACTAGCTCTTGTAGACCAGGCTGGCCTCGAACTCACAGAGATCCGCCTGCCTCTGCCTCCCAAGTGCTGGGATTAAAGGCGAGCCCCACCACCGCCCGGCCTTGGATGTAAGAATTTTAACAAGTGTCTCTTTTTAATAGTCATCGCGGCAACCCCTGTAATCCCGGCGATTAGTAGGTAGAAGTAGGAGGGTCAGGAGTTCAAAGTCACCTTCACCTGCCCCTTCTATGGTTTTTCAAGATAGGATTTCTCTGTGTAGTCCTGGTTGTTCTGGAACTCATAAAGACTAACCTGCTTCTGCCTCATGAGTGCTGGTTTAATGTCACTTGGCTTAACTGTAGTGAGTTAGAGACCAGTCAGCCAGAAATACCAATGACTTTGTCTCAAAAACAAAACAAAACAAAACAAAACAACAAACTAAATTAAACCAGACAGGCGGTGGTGGCCCACACCTTTAATCCCAACACTAAGGAGGCAAAAACAGGTGGATCTTTATGAGTTTTGAGGCCAGCCTGGTCTATATAGCGAGTTCAGCACTATGTGGAAAAACCCTTTCTCAAAAATAAAGAATTCCCAGAAGCTAGGTATGCTAATTCATGCCTGTAATCCCAGCAGAGAGATTGACACAGGTTTTTTTTTTTTTTTGAACTTCGGCTTATGTTGGCTTTTTCAATTTATTTCTCTTTGAACAAAAGATTTACATCAGTGACTTTTATTTCCCTAATGGAAGATGGAAATAGTGATAATACTGATGTGGTTTGGTTGTGAGGATCGAGTCAATCAGCATGCGGGTGAGCAAATACCTGGCACCACGATTTCCTTAAACAGACCTTCTAATACCATTCCTGCTCTCCAACTTCACCCTGACTGAGATGAAGTGGGACAGCAGTATTCGGGCAGATTGGGATATTCTTGGTGAAAAGAATGAAGGAAAAGCCAAGCGGTGGTGGCACACACCAGGCAGAGGCAGGCGGACCTCGGTGAGGTCAAGGCCAGCCTGGTCTGCAAGAGCTAGTTCCAGGACAGGCTCCAAAGCTACAGGGAAACCCTGTATTGAAAAACCAAAGAAAAGGGGGCTGGAGAGATGGCTCAGAGGTTAAGAGCATTGCCTGCTCTTCCAAAGGTCCTGAGTTCAATTCCCAGCAACCACATGGTGGCTCACAACCATCTGTAATGAGGCCTTGTGCCCTCTTTAGGCATGTACGTAGACAGAATATTGTATACATAATTAATAAATAAATATTAAAAAAAGAAAAACCGAAAAAAAAGAAAAAAAAGAAGGAAAATATAATAAATTAGAAAATCCTTGGGGTTTTTGTTTTTGCCTTTTTAAATTTTGATTTTCTTCTCTTTCAGGTTTGTTACAAGAGAGAAGCCCATGCTTTTTAAAAACTAATTACTATTTAAAAATTATGTATGTGTTTTTGTAAAGATGATTTTTATTATATTGTGTACATGTGTTAGTATGTACACATGTATGCAGGTGCCTACAGAGTCCAGAAAAGGATATTTGGTTCCCTGGAAATAAGAGTTACAGGCAGTTGTGAGCTAGCTGAGAACTGAACTTGGGTCCTCTGCAAGAGCATCAATCATCCTTAACCGCTGAGTCACCTCTCCAGCCCCTTTACCGGTGATTTTATAGTTATCAGAATGGAGGGAAAAACCAAAGGAGTCTTCAAAGAGCAGGCAAGGTCTCACAGCTGCACAACACTTCTGAAAGCCTTCACTGCCTCAGACCCTGTGGACAGACAGCTGGGCTGTGGTCAGGGCTCCTAGAAGGAGCCTCAGGAAACTTGCCTGTTCTCTCTTCCAAAGCCCTGCAGTCGGCACTTGAACACAAGCTTTCTTGCACTGTTGCCTGCTTTTAATATCTATACACATATACATTACATTTGCTATATTAAATATATATACTCATGTGGGTGCATGAGTAGGTGGGAGTCAGTGTTTTCCTTCCACCATGTCAGGATTAAATTCAGGTTGTTAGACTTGGTTGCACGTGCCTGTAACCACTGCCATCTCACTGACTGGTACTTTTGATGGTGGGAACGAAACCTAAGTTCTCTGTAGCTAAGAGGTTGATGTCCAGGGTCTTCCTCTATGGCTCTCTGCTTCACTTGGTGAAGGCAGGCTTTCTCACTGAGGTTTGCCTCTAGGGCTAAGCTGGCTCATCAACTACCTCTCAGGACATGCCTGTCTCTGTGCCCCAGTGTTGTGATTACAGACACAAGCGCCATGCTTGGAAGGGAGTGCTGGGGATTCAAACCTCAGATCCTCAGGCTTGCACAGAAGACGAACCATCTTCCCAGCCTCATAGCTCATGTTCCCACAGAGGGCCAGTAAGAGAAATGAACTAGAAGATAGGCCATGTGAAAAAGCAATCCCTGAATACTTTGGTTGTCTAATTCCGAGGCCACCTCTTCATATCTACTGCCTTGTACAATATCAGTTATATTCTGAATGCCCATTCTAGTTGTCAATCTTATTGAGCAATGCATTGTGCTTATATATTGTTACTTTTTTATATGAATCAACTTCCTCGATGGGTCCTATTGTAACAAATAGTTGGCAGAATGAAAATTTTAATCCCAAATGTGCATGACTCAAAGCCACCCCCCTCCAAAGTATCTCACACAGTCCAACTGACCTATATAATTCACTAGGTAGTGTACTCTGGCCTTAAACTATCGACCTCCCAAGGGCAGGCATGATAGGCCACACCTGGTGGAAGACCATTTGCGTGTGTGTGTGTCTGCTAGTGCACATGTGTGTGGAAGCCAGAGATTATTGTTGGATGTGTCATCTCAAATCCGTTTATTTTTGGAGGCACTAAACCTGGTGGTACTCATTGATTTGGGTAGGCTGCTTGTGATTCTCCTTTCTCTGCCATACCACGAGCCACATGCCATCGCCCCTCCTTTTTTCAAAGAAAGTATCTCCTGACAGGCGCTGGTGGCCCACGCCTTTAATCGCAGCACTCGGGAGGCAGAGGCAGACAGATCTCTGTGAGTTCGACGTCAACATGGTCTACAGAGCAAGTTCCAGGACAGACCATGGATGTTACACAGAGAAACCCTGTCTCAGAGGGGCAGGGGGGAAAGTATCTCACTATGCAGACCTAGAACTCCTATGTAGACCAGGTTACCCAACTGAGACCTGCACCACCACCCTTATAAGCGGGTGCAGAGTAGCTATCTCAGGAACTCAGGTCTTCAAGCTTGCAGTTTATTAAGCCATGGCCCCGGGTGCAGGTCATTTCTTACCCACCCGCTTCTCCGTCCCTAGCTGTATCTGGAAACAGGCTGTGCTGAAAAAATACTTGGTAATAGAACGGGCAAATGGGTCTCTCTACAGCTTTGTAATCTCTTCAATCGGGACCTCAAAGAAGTAGTTAGATACATTGCACACAGCATACAGTCATGCTTGGTCTTGGACTTTAAAGACAGAACTAGATTTGCCGAATTCCCAGGGGTTGACCTGCATTTGCAAGGGATGGGTTCTGCAGCAAGGGTGGCGTTCATCCGGGCCTATGACTGATGCTTGTATCAGGCCACCTTTTATTTCCTGGAGACGCCATGCTAAAGTTGCATAATAACATAAGCAGTCATTCTAAACTCAAGTCAGAGGCCTGGGACCAAGCGTTCGCGGCCGCGTCACTGTGGCAAAGTGTCTTTTTGAAGAAGTCCTGTCGGAGCGGAGGAACACGAGCCGGCTCTTGGGTGCCCTTTGCACTTTGACCTTGCCTCAGTCTCTGTCCCTGAGGTGACTTCTGGTTCCCAATCAGCACAGGAGTGGGGTTGCTTGTCACAGCAAGACATCCCAAGCTCGTGACTCCTCCCACGCAGCGTGGGAACTCGCGCGGGGACAGAGACCCGCCCAGGACCCGCCTCTCCGGCTTCCCGTTTCCTGCCGTGCCCCCACCCCGCTCCACCCCGCCGCGGTGAGGTCACGCGAGAGACGTCACTGACTTATGACGTCACTAAGGGCGGTCCATCGGGGGAGAGGAAGGGGCGGGGCTCGGGTGGCCCCCCACGCGTGCGCATTGGGCGCAGCGCGTGAGGAGGCGGAGGCGGCTGTGTTGCGAGGAGCGGCGGAGGCGGCG